ACATCACCACTCTTTGAGCCCAGGTCCTCAGTTATCTCTTCCCTCTTGCCACCTCGCACATCAGAAGAATTCTCTTTCCCACAGTAGTGAACGCCAAAACCACTGCAGCAAGTTATATATGAAACTTCATGCTTGGTTCTCTCTCATGAACATTGTAAGTTCCTTAAGCACAAAAATCTTATTGTTTAGAGGTACAAGATCCCAACAATGAGTGTAACTGTACTGTATCCCTAAAATGTACCAATAAACTCAATTAAAGCTGGGGGAAAAAAATCTTATTGTTCTTCTGCATTTTGCAGTATCTGACAACAGACTGCACTGAGCTGCTGCTCCCTCTTCCAGGAGGTCCTCCTGCGAGCATTCAGCACAGTGCAGCTCACTCTCCACGCCAAGCACCTTTCGCTGAGGAAAGCCTAATCACTTAATTTCAAATTGCAGCCTCCACTCCTTCTGATTTATCTCCCTACATCGCACATGGCACCTTCCAGCATAGCAAAGCCACTTCGATAGACTCAGTGCCTGTCCGTGCCGTTGAAGCATCAGAGGGCAGGACTGTCTCCCTTTCACTGTTGTATTCCCAACACCTACCGGGGTCCTGGCACACAGTGCTCAACCCGTTCTTGTTTTACAAGCGAATTCTAGTTCTGCATTCCCGGGAACGCTTTCAGAGACTGAGGTGAGATGAGGACTGGGTCTGGGTCCCAAATAACCACTGACGGCTGCGCAGCTGGGAGGGAGGAGCGCATCACACGATCGGCAAGAGGGGCTACGGGCCGGAAGTGTGGGTTCAGAGTTCTGACCAGGGCAGATTCGGACCGGAAGTATGAACAGGTGACCACTGAATGGATGAGCAGCCGAGCAGCGGAGCAGCCAGGCGTGACGTGGAGACACAAGACCTAGACTCTCACTCTGAACTTAAGACACTGGAGAGAGACCTGCAGGAAGTGACGGGGAAGCCCAAGGACTTCCATGTTGAATTCCCGTGCCAATTCAGTGCCTTTGTTACTCAAAGCAGCACTTGGCTTCATTAACTCTGAATGGCTAGGAAGAAAAACGCATATTAACAAAAAGATGGACACTGAGCTACAATAGCATCAAACTGGATGTGTAATACTGGGAAGGCAAGTGGGTCTTCAGATGCAATATTTCAAGGAATCAAGAAACTGCAAAAGTTAATAGGACATTGGGTGATGGAACCCAACAGTGAAAGAAGGAAAGAAGGGAGGGCAGTTCAATCTGATGCCGTAATTCATTAGTCGATATTTAATAATAATGATCTAATATTATACATCAACAACATTAAGTTGATATTTATTCTATTCTGAAGCAAATTTCTCCACAGCAACTGCCTTGAGATGACATTTAGACTTAATAATTGAAAATGTGATTGTACTTCGCTTTGGTTGTTTATATTTAAGGAAAGAAAAAAAATAAAAGTTCCCTTCCACAGCACTACCAATGTCTGCCAATGATTTCAAAATGCTTTCCACCAAGCACAAGTGTTAAGGTGAATTTTGAAAGTAGAGCCACAGCACTGGACAGCAAAGGAAGCTAAGGTCAGAACTCAGCGGGGGACTTTGGGGAGCCCTGCCTTGGGGAAGGCTGGAGAACGGACTCTGGGCCTGAGCCTGTGCTCGGGGTGCCTGCGGCGAAGCCAGGTGATGGGTGCATGTGCTCCCATCAGCACAGGAAGCTGTGTTCCCGCTCTCTGGTTCCCAGACTGGTGTTGCCAAAGTCCCAAACCAGTGCTTATCATGGAGATGCAGGCTCATCGGGACAGCCGGGCCCATCCTAGCACATAACAGATGACACATACAGTGCCTTCACATCTGATCGCTATCTACTCACTGCCTGTGAATGAGACAGAAGGCTTGGCTTTTCGGGGGTGATGATTGGTCCCCACTCGGTCCACGTATGGGAGGAGGGCTGCCTGAAGGAGGGGTCCGTGGCAGTGCCACACAGGAGTAGAAGGAGCCCACAGGTAGCACTACGGTAAGAATCATTTGCAGACTATTATGGTTTATATCTCAGTGTCCCTCCAAAGCCTCAGGGGCTCACAGGTGGAGCTTTGGGGAGGTGACTGAATTACAGAGGTGTGATACCCAGCAGCGGGTTAGCCCAGTGATGAGATTGTACCTGACTGTGGTGCTCCCTCCTCCTCCCTTGATCACTCTCTTGCCGAGAGCTGCTTTTCTCTGCCAGGCCCCTCTGTCATACCTCCATGCTTCCAAGCCAGGGGCCTATGGACAGAAACCTCTGCAAACTGTGAGCCAGAATGAACTTCTCCCTCTTTCACTTTGCTGGTGTCAGGGACTGTGTCTCAGCAATGACACAGTAACTAAGATAGAGACTTTCCATTTGCTGGTGTCAGGGACTGTGTCTCAGCAATGACACAGTAACTAAGATAGAGACTTTCCATTTGCTGGTGTCAGGGACTGTGTCTCAGCAATGACACAGTAACTAAGATAGAGACTTTCCATTTGCTGGTGTCAGGGACTGTGTCTCAGCAATGATACAGTAACTAAGATAGAGACTTTCCATTTTTCAGAAGATCTTATCGTAGTACCATGATAATGCCAATTTGCCACCATGGGAATCTACGCTCTTAGACACTCACAACTTGTGCGATGATGCTGCACCCAATTGCTAGGTATCCCACAAATAATTCTTCTACATCTGAGAGGCAGCAATGGGCCAATTAACAGAAATAACTACAAAATTTATCTTCTGGTTTTCAATCTCCTTACTCATGCTAACAAGAGAAAAAGAGTTTCTGAAATTATAGATCAGATCAATTTTGAGACGGCTGTTTTCATATACTTTAGTAATAGGACTAATAGGTGAAAATATCTTTTAAAAAATTGGAAAAACATTCAATGATTAAAATCTGGGTGGGGAAGGAGGGAATGGGGAGTGGTTGGCCAAAGGGTACAAAGTTTCATGCAGCCAGAAGAAATAAATTGTTGAGATCTGCACAGCAGTGACTATAGTCAATAAAAATATACTGTATATTTCTCTTCTTTTCTTTTTTCAGTCCTAGGGATGAAATCCAGGCCTTGCACATGCTAGGCAAGCACTACAACTGAGCCTGTATTATATATTTCAAAATAACTAAAAAATAAATTTCAAATGATTTATGATAAAAAAATGATATATAACGGAGATAGATACATTAATTCACTTGATTTAATCATTTATATTATACATATATCAAAACATCACATTGTACTATATAAATGTACACAATTATGATTTTTTAAATTAAGAATATTAATTTTAAAAGATTAATCTAGAAGAACAACTTAGGTCCAATATTCATTTGAAGACCAAGGATCTAAGTAAAAACTTCCTACTTTTTGATCAAGTATTATTTTACTTTGTTCTCTTAAGTTGTTTATTTAACAAAAAGAAAAAATTTTGAAATAGTGCTTTCTAGTTAGCAGTGTTTTTATGTATTGACTTAATGCCACTAAAAGTCTTTAGATTAATTAAAAATGATTTCTAAAGTAAATCCTAGGTTATCAAATTTTAAGTAATTCCATTGTCAGTCCACACTGCCCGATAAAAATAAAACTATATAAATAAAAATCTGTATATATTTTTATTCTTTCATGTGCATTTAGCACTGAGAAAAAATAAACTTAATAGTTTATGCATGGCATGAAGGATAGTATGAGTCAAAGAACTCAAGGGCAGTGCAACACACTAAGGGAACGGGCCAGTGCAATAACATTAAGTAAAAGCACCACTTACAAATGATCTGAACCAGAAACACTGCTTGTGAAACAGGGGTCTACAGGGGTCTCTAGAGAGTGCTGGGGTTGGGATGTGGTTCCCTCTCCTAGGGTCCCTGGGTTGGAGGCTTATTGGAGGTGGGATCTTCAATAAGTGGGGCGTGGCGGGAGGCGGGGCGCGGCGGAGGTCAGTAGGGCCACAGAGTACTAGTTTTTGAAAGAAACTAAGGTATGCCTTGAGGGATCCCGGTTAGTTCTCAGGATAGCCTTGTACCTGGCCCCACAGGGCCTCTCCCTTGCTTCCTTTTCTGAGATGAGACCACTCACCCACACACTCGCTGTCACCGCATCCACCCCGGGTGATGCAGTCCAGAGACCCCGCCAGAGGTGAGCCGATGCTGCACTATGCCCTGAACCCACACACTGCAAGCTAAGCAAGTGTTTTTCTTCTTACGTCATCTGCCTCACATATTTCATTATTACCCATGAAAGCAAATTAGCAGGGTTCTTTGGAACATGGCTGGATTCTTGCTCATGTGACAGAAGAGACAACAGAGACCTTCATTTCTCCTAACCAAAAGAGAACACTGAAATGTGTAAATGCTGAATAAATAGTTTCTCTGGTGTGAATAAACTATAACGGTGCATAAGATCCTAATGAGATAATGGACAATGTGAAATGGGAAGAAAAGGACTAAAGGTGTAGAGAAAGTGGGAAGGGTAGGGGAAAGGTAATAAGGGAAAAGAAAAAATATGAGAAAATGAAAAGTGGAAATAAAGTGTTTGTAAATGGGGAGGGGAGGAGGGGGTGAAGGGAGGGCAGGGACAAGGGGAAAAAATGAGAACCAAGACCTGTCATGTAAAGGTACAGGATCCCAATGATGGATGTAACTGTAGTGTATCCCTAAAATGTACCAATACACTCAATGAGGAAAAAAATAGAGAGAACACTGAAAATGCACAAATACACTGAGTTTATATCAATTCAAGGAATTTCTTAGATTCTGACCTTACTTCCTTTTGTATTAGAATAATTTTATATTTACAGGAAGGTTGCAACGATAATATCGGGTTCCTTGTGTTCCTCCCTTCACCGCCTTTCTCCTTACATTAATATCTCATGTAATCATGGTTCTTTATGTCAAAATCAAGAAATCCACTTGTGACTAAAATACAGACTTCGTTCTGCTCTCGCCAGTTTCCCATGCTCGTCCGTTCTTGTTCTGGGGTCCTGTCCAGAACCCCCTGCTGAACTCGCGGCCTCACCTTCTGATCAGAGTCTGCATCCTCATCGTGATACTCAGCGCAGAGCGGGCCGGGGTAGGCCGTGAAGGTGGGTCCCTGAGAGTAGTACTGCGAGCTCCGGTAGCCGTCCCGCCTCAGCTTGTCACACTCTGCAGGGGACACAGGAGGTAGGAGATTAGAAGCCCTGCTGGTGTGCGCTCCTTTATCTTTTCCAGTAACATCTTCCTAAGATTGCAGAATAATAACAAAGTAATGGTAAAACGACTAAGAGTGATTGAAGTACCAGGGCACCCTGTTAACATACTTTAATGCATTACTGTAGCACTCACCACAAACCCATGAGGTAGATGCTGTCCTGAACTCTACTTACAGGAAATTGAAGGTTAAGGCAATTAAATTATTTGCTCTGCAATGTTATACAAGTAAATAGGTGTTTTTAATCCAGGGCTTTACCTACTGTACTAGAATTTTTGACACAAATAACTGATTATGTTATTCTACATTTCCACATTTAAAAAAATGGTTCATTCTGGCAGCTTCACCAAAACGAACAAACAAAACCCCAAGCAATTCCCACATTATGCGTATCATCAGGTGGAAGTGACACTGATTATAATGCTCTTGTTTTATTTACTAATTCATTTTTCTCCTTTCTCTGTGTGTGTGCTGCTAGAACCCAGGGCCCTCGGAGCATGCTAAGCAGGTGCTCTACCACTGGGCACCTGCAGACCTCTAATTTCAATACCTCGGCACCTAACCGCTCTGCAGAATTACCAGGAAATTGGCTGCCTGCCTGAGAAGTCCTCAGAGGAAGGCCTGCTTCTCAAATGGGAGGCAGTGAGGGCCGGGCACAGGCCGTGGGGCCCAGGGAGGCCACTGCGGGGAGATAACAGCACAGCGAGTGGGTAGGAAAAATTCTAATGGCTTCCGAAGCACCAGGAGCTTTCTTATTACCTGGCACATTAAAGGAACATCGTCTGGAGAGAGGATTTGCCACGAGGCTCCCTTAAATACTCAGCTTTCTAACTGAGGACAAAATGTGTTTGATTTAGGAAGTCTTCTCTTCACACAGCTTTACAAATCTATGTGCCTAAAGGCACAGAGCTAAAGTAGGGCATCTTCAGAGCTCCTGTTCTACAGGACCTAAGAGGCTTCCTCAAACAGGAGATAAGCAGCCCTTTCCGCGGAGAGAAAAATACAGACTAGTTTTTTTAAACCAGGGAATAAAGTCTTTATTCTCTTTTGCTACCTCACAGTGGGAGTGGACAGAGAAAGTTTCTAATTCAGTCCTGCAGGTCAGGTTTTTTAAAATCCCATGAAAATAGGCAAGTGGTTCCAGGAAAATGTCAAGCTAACTGAAAAATACACATGTAATCATAGAAAGGTTAAATAGCTCTACTTCTGTTACTTATGGGTTAAATAACTAGTGGTCTGGGCTGGCAACTACTTGTAATACTGACTCTACTGGAATAAAAAAAATGTTTTTTTCTGACACTTCTAGAACACAACATATTTTAGTGCATATTTATTCATACTAATCTAACCCTATATAAATGAGATGAAATACTTTCACATTTCCTCTGCTTATCGGTTTTTCTAACACAAATACAGAATCTATACTCTCACTCTATCAAAATAATATTACAAAAAATATGATTACTAATTTTCAAGTGGCACTCCCTACAGAGTTTTGAGATTCTATTAATATTTGACTTGAGTTCCTTTACCTACCCTAAAGCTAGGATAAAAATAACACTCAAGTTCAATAGATTTACATACCACACTTTGAGAGCAGGTGAGAATTAGTTCATCAACTGAGGCTGCTAAATTAACTTCCCTGTGGACCTAGAAGTGAGTTATTCCTGCTAGCTCTGTGAAATTGAAGTCTCCTAGAGACTAAGGGTCAGCCTCACAAAATAACCAATACAAACTGCTGTTGCTTGTGACTACTTCACTACTTAATTCAGGGTTTTCAAATACTTGACAAATACAACGAAATATCATTTAAATAGGAGCTAAGGCCTTTATAAACTAAGTTCATCTCTTTTTTTGCCTAATGAACCCTATTAAGAAGTCTGAAATTATAAAACTTAATACTATTCAAATGTCACTTTTAAATTTTTATTTTATGTATTAGACACCACATTGACATTGTGTTTGAAACAGAGGTTTCCTGCCCCAGGAAATAAGGAGAGACAGCTGGGTCAGGCATTTCTAAGTGTCATTTAATCATGACGTTCTTGGCAATAACATTAAAACAGCCAGAATGAATCAATGCATATAAATGTTTAAGACAAAAATACTGCAAAATTATTTTCCATACATTAAATGCATAAAGACTGGCCATTTTTAGTACTGTGCTGCCAGTGTGTGTCACCTTTTCATGCCCAGTTTAAATGGCAATGCTGTGTTTTTCTATCACAAAAATATTTAAGTAGCAGTATAATAAAATAGTGCAACAAATGAAATATAGCGCTGGGTCTAAAATTAAACTAGCTAGTATAAATTTATAGCTGATGGCCACTTTCTTTTACTCTTACCAAACTTCTGAAATCTAGTAAACTCACCAAGTTCCACTGTCACTTAGTCTAACTTGAGGAGAAATCTAGGAAAATCTCTTCCTCAAGTTGAAACACACCTCAGTTTCTAAAACCATGGCTTCACTCATTAAAAGTTGAGTTTATTGTCTTTAGACTTTATAAGAGCAAGCCAAAGACTCTTCAGACACTACTTACAGAGTAACTTCAAGGCAGAGATAGTTTAAAGCCAGGATACACCAGCGATTTCAATGTAATAAATATCTACATTTAACACATATTCTTCTTATGTTAGAAATTTACGTGAAGTGTTGTTGTTTTTTGTTTGTTTTTGTTTTTGTTTTGTTTTGTTTTTTGAGACAGGGTCTCACTGTGTAGTTGAGACTGACCTGGAACTCACTATGTAGCTCAGGCTGGTCTTGAACTCACAGTGATCCTCCTGCCTCAGCCTCCCAAGTGCTGGGATTACAGGAGTGCGCCACCACGCCTGGCTATGAGGAACTTAAAAAATTTTTTTTTTTTTTTTTGGTACTGGGGATTGAACTCGGGTCCTTGTGCTAGCAAGGCAGGTACCGGAACCACTGAGCTAAATCCCGGGCACTGAGTAAAGTGTTATTGTTCTTGCAGTACTACTTGGATTTGTTGAGGTCTCTGGTTTTCAAACCATAAAATTTCCCATCCTTCTTTTTATGAACAGAAAAAAAAAAAATCTACAGCACAAGGACAATGGATAACCATTTCTTGATAAGTCAAAATTTTAACTATAGAGGAAAAAAGTAAAGTCATGGAACTAGATGGTCATCCAGCCATCTCACGAATTTAACTGGAAATACTCAGGGTCTACTGCAAGAAGTGCTAAAGGAGCAATTTTCAAAATAATTCTATGGGAAACCCTTACTGAATTTCCCTTTTCTTTGTTATTGTCCCTAAATTTACTTCCTTGGTTACAGTCAGCTAGAATATGCAGCAGTTACAGATAATTTCAAAGTCTCTTAGCATTTCTCCCCTGCAGAAAGGAACACAGAGCTAGCAGGGGCTTCGCTCACGGTGGTCACCTAGAGCTGGGACAGATGGAAGTTCCGCCTCGGCTGGCAGCTCTGACCCCACACGGCCACGCAGTGAGACACGGTCCCGCTCACACTGCTCTTGGGACTTGCTGAGCATGTGCATAAAGGACTGTCATACTTAAGGGGATCTCAGACTAAGGGAAGGGTCTTCTTTCTTTCTCAAAGGGAAAGCAAATCTGTAGGTGCAGCTGCCACACAGCTCACAGGGGCGGGATGGGGCAGAGTGAATGCTCAGGTTGCTCAAGGCCCAAGGTTCACTCCCCAGAGCAAGTGAACATGCACGCGCGCACACACACACACACACACACACACGTGCACGCACTCCTGGCCATAATGGAACATCAGCACACTCACCATGGGAAAGAGAGCCCTTTGATTGATTATTCTGGAAATTATTTCATTTTATACATCTGTAAATTGATATTCACAATACACATTAGCATGTGATTTACACGGCCACTACTGCTTTCCAAATCCTCTCACGGACAATGACGCCAGCCGCTCCTGGCCTGTGTGGCAGTTGCCACACTTACGGAAACACAACTAAACACGCTGCCTCAAGATGACTTTTGTAAACCACCCTTCCTTTTGACCTCGAATCTTCTTCCAAACTCTTCCCTCCTCACTCCAACATTCCAGGCTACCCTGAAGTCTTCGGTATCACAGTGTTGGCGCTGTAGCCTGAGGGGCTGATTTCCTGTGTCATCTGCTTACACCACACCGAGTCACCGTGTCCCTCCTGTATTCGTTTATAGCCGCCTTCCCTCCCCGTGGGCTCCGAAGGAAGGAGCCGTGTCTCATTGCCTCCTTAGATTCTCCACTGCACCGAGCACAGTACAGAGAAGTGCAACTGATGTTTTCAATCAAAGAACAGCAGAGCAAAGGAGCCAGGAAGTACGACAGTCACTACTGACAAAGACGCAAAGCCAGAGTTCTAAGAAACTATTAGGCCCCAACACAGTTCTTCCTCCTCTGCAGCCTTGGTGGTAGGAGTTGAGAGCCAGGCATTCTCGGCACACACTTATCTCTTTATTCACTCAATCATCTACCACCAGCCCAGAACTACTGCAGGCAGAGGGGATCCCACAGCAAACAGAACAAAAGTTAGACGCCTGTCCACAAAGTGCGTGTGTTCTAATGAGGGCGCAGACAACAAAAGAGGAAAGAGCAGAGCCTGGTAAAAGGTCCTAAGTGGCAAGAGGAAAGTAACGGAGGGACAGAGATAGGACGTGGAGAGGGTGGCGGTGTGCAGCATTGGGGCCTCACAGTGGAGTGACATCCGAGTAAAGATGGTTCCAGCTCCCCGAGAGAGAGCCGGGTGAGTCTGCTTCAGGCTGAGTGAAGAGGGAGCAGCAAGAGCCAAATCAGGCAGGAAAAGTGGGGGCAGCTGTGCAAGGCCTTGTGGGTTACTACGAGAACACGGGCTTTTGACACCAAGTGGAAGGGTAGCCCCTGGTGACTCCGAGCTGAGAAGTGACACAACTGCGCCGACCTTTGTCACCTTATTCCTGCTACCTCCTACCTCAAGACGCCAGGGTGCAGCTC